CACCTCATGACTAGGTTTTTTAAAGCCATGGATGGATTTGACCCTCTCAAGTTTCTCCAACAAACATAAATTTCTACCCAAATTCATGATAGTTTTTGTGATAGTTAAATTGATGGATTGTCATCAATGCATGTATTGTTCACAATGCATTGTTTTTTTGAACTTTCTGCACAAACTATACATGCATTGTTTGCTTAATGTGATGGAAACTATCACTCTAAATGAGTGATAGTAATATCTCAAGTTTTTTGTGTGATTGTTGAGATTGTTTGTTTGAGATTGTTAGAGTGTTTTCTTCTTCCAACTATGTCCCTACCTTTTGATGTATTTTGCTTTTTTATATAAAAAACAAACGGTAAAAGTGACATTTCACCAAGAAGGCAATATATCTTATTTAAATACTAGAATAACTGAAACAGAAACCAAACGATGTAAACGATGATAACATCCTAATATCATTTCTATCACCACAATTCAACAAGGTGATTCCAATTATAACGTAAGAGTAAAACATTTAGTAAAGTATTGAAACCGAGAAAGAAAGAACTCTAGCTTGTCTTCTCTCCCAGTCAACATTACCTACATTTCTTCCCTTTCGCGTTCATATATTCAACTTTCCCACGTACGCGATTACATGATCTCCTGTCTCCATTCCTCCTCTCTCTATATATAATTAAGCTCCTCCCCACCACCCAATCCCAAAAGTCCCCACCAGCTATCAATTACGTTCATCTCCTTCAAGTCCAAATCAAAAACTTCAAACTCAACTTTCTCTCTCTTTCACAAGGTTTTCCTAGCCTTCTCCAACATGGCCAAAAAGCTTCTTCTTCCACAGATGCTTCAGTACTATTCCCTGATGATCTCCTTCTTCTTCTTCTTCTTCCTGGCTCTCTTCCTGACCACGATTCCAATCGCCTCCGCAGCTACAGAAGTGGGTAAGTAAGCGTATTGATAGAAAACCCTTTTTTTTTTAAGTTTTAAACGTTTGGTGTTGTAATTTGTAACTTTGGTGCAATATTGTGCAGAGGATGAGAGGGAGTTTACATACAGGCCGGACGGGGAGAATGGGCCGGCCCGTTGGGGTGAGATTCATCCTGATTGGCACAGCTGCAATAAGGGGAAGATGCAATCTCCCATCGATATGTTGGACGACAGAGTTGATGTCGTTTCGCATTTGGGGAGGCTGAATCGAAGCTACAAGGCAGCCAATGCCACTCTTATGAATAGAGGCCATGACATGATGGTATATATATAGTCTATTTTTAGTTTTTTTTTTACTGAATTAGATGGTATATAATAATATAATAATAACAATATTGTGAATATTTGTGATTAAGGAGATCCACTTTGTGGATATACATAATATATTACACACATGTGCATAGAAATACTAATTAACCACCATCCAGCCGGGGTGAAATTGAGCCAAACCCGAGCCCGATCGTAGAACTCCCCTGAAAATTCTGGTTCTAGAGGGGTAAACTGGCCTGCCTCGACCCTGTCTGACTCGCGAGGGCTGGGGCGAGCCGGGCCGGTCTAGTTGGTGTTTATGGAGAACCCTCTCCCATGCTCCTACTTTTCGTCTCCTGATTTCGACTACCCTTAAGGTTGGATCGGACCAAACCAACGGGTATAGAGGGTCCGATATACTATATTTTTTAAAAAAGAAATGTTCAATTATACATTTTATATTACGATTTTTTTAGGTATACATCTCCTTAAGAAAAAATCAAGCTCATGTGTTCGAAGTTAACAATGGCTCACTCTACCTTTTAGTTAAATTAAATGTCGACATGAGGTTTGCATCTACCACGTTGAAAATCAGTTCATCATGATAACTCGAGATAAGTACTTAGGTTTGTGTCTTGAGTGATGTGATCGATTAAACGAAAGTTATGGTGGATTGCAGTTGAAGTGGGAGGGTGGCGCAGGAAGCATTCGAGTAAATGGAACTAAATACTTTCTCGAGCAGTGCCATTGGCACACTCCTTCCGAGCACACCATGAACGGCAAGAAATATGCTATGGAGGCTCACATGGTTCATGAAAGTGCCGATGGAAAAATTGTGGTGGTTGGGATTCTATACACCATAGGAAGGCCCGACTCATTCCTTCAATCGGTTAGTTATATTTAAGTAGTACGTTCTTTAATATCTATTTTAATTTCTCTCAATTTCTCTGATATTGTATATATGTTTTCGGCTTAATGGATTTTATCAGATAAAGCATCATCTAGAGGACGTGGCGGGGGCGAAAGAAGACCAGACGAAAGTGGGAGTAGTGGATCCGAGAGACATCAAGATCGGCAGTAGAAAGTACTATCGATACATTGGCTCCCTTACTGTCCCTCCTTGCACAGAAAACGTGACATGGACTATTGTTAAAAAGGTAATCAATTTCTGGTGAATTTGTAAAATTAATATTTACCGCATGTATGATCAATATTGTAAAGTTTAACATTTTCCTAGCTAACACGAGCTATAAAACGATTCCTCTTGGCAGGTTAGAACCGTCTCCAGAGAGCAGTTGAGGCTGCTTCGGGTGGCTGTTCATGACGTGAGTTTCTTCGACCAATCATAATTTTTTTTTATCAAAATTATCTCTACAAAGAATTCTAGGGTTATTGATTATGTGTTGTTTTGCAGGATTCAAACTCAAACGCTAGACCATTGCAGCCTAAGTTTGGAAGGAAAGTGAATCTCTTCAGGCCCGAAGAAAGCAGAGATGATTAGTTGATTCACTAGCACATATTTGTAGTAAAAATGATATTTGCTGAGTCATTTGATTTTGAGGATTAATAGAGGCGTATTTCTGCCTTTGTTTATCAAGTTTTGAGGGTTCTATAGAGCATATTCACGATATTTATCGTTTATTTATTTATCACATCAATAAATACGCAATGTAATGTAATATAATGTTCATTATTTGGGAATAAAAGCAACATTATTGAATGAAAAATGTTTCTCTTATACAGATGATTGGGACAAAATATAGTTGAATCAGTGTTAGTTTCAACTTCAAATACCCCCTAACTCTATCTCATCTCTTGATCTTATTAGGGAATCATTGTTAGTCCGTGTATAATTTAGTGCACCGATGATCAGTCTAGTTTATGAGATTTCTTTTTACACGTTATGGCGGTTTCCATAAATTTTGCTTTGGAGCGTGGCCATCTCAAATCCCACTGAGCTATTTATCGTAGTTCATAACATTTGCAAGATTAATTAGAACTATCTCCACAATCATTTAGGTTGCTTCGGATGAAAACAATGATATCACTACGAATCCACAAGTAATTTATTACTCTCAACTAAATACACCAAATGGCTATCACACTTTTAACAATACCAAAACATGTATAGCTAAAAAATGTATTCATATTATTATTATTATATTAACACTTTTTTTTACTTATCATAACCACCTTCCAACTTTCAAGGTATTTTTTTTTTTTTTACGTATTTCACCATTTACAAATAATCAATAACATTACATGATCATCAATTGATGGAATGAATGACATCGCGGGACAAATCGATTGTATGGGTGAATTTATCATAACTAGGTTTGCGCGCGGGGTAATAAAAAAATTTAATCATATATATACGTGAATTATATTTCATCACCAACTACTACTTACCCACCAATTCAGCAGCCAACATTTCATGGAATGATAGTCGTACCATACGGAAGAAGACAATAAAATTAGCCGTACATTTATGATGACGAAGACACTAATTAATTCATTAACAAAGTGATCAAATGGTTAATTGTTCTAGAAAGCACCCCCAAAAAAAAAATATTCCATGCAGTTCAGATTTCAACGGGGGTAACAAATTAATTGATTGACTTCAGAATGTGACAGCTAACCCCTCCAAATAATATGCATTTAATTAGTTATCAATTTCTCGACAGAGGCGTAGACTTATCATCATTAATCACATTGATAATTAATAATAAGTACTAAGCTAATTCTTCCTCTTGTTATTTCTTAATTATTATAGGTAATTTCCACCTTCTTTCGTGTGAGATCTCAGTCGTTAATTAGTCTTTGTATTCTATTCTGATTAAAAGCTCAACCAAGTTTAAGGAAGTTGCACCATTCATGCTTCATGTGTTTCAACTTTCGAGAGAGCAATATTATGGGATTATGACGTCCCAGTTTTAGGTCAAAGGCAATTTGGATTGTAAAATATAGCAATTATATGTTTGGGAAAATGAAAGTAGGGAAGAAGATATCGAACAATGATATCTTTGACTGACTTGGTAGTGAATTAATGGTGAAATTAGTGAAATAGAAATGTTAGGTGTTTGTGAGAACTGGGAATGATATAAAACTCATTCTGAACTTATCTCAACAACTCGAGTTATTAAGATTAATGAGTTTTTGAGACAGTATTAGAGTTTATAATGATGCAAGTGGTCTTTTTAATTTGCCTGAATTCCTATGAATTCATATATTAAAAGATTGTTCAATATATATAACAAGGTTTGGGACAGGGGGAGCTGTGTAAATTTCAAACCCACAAATTGAATTTTGTTTCAAATTACAAGTAACAAAATTAGATAACATCCATGATTGAATTTGAATATCTTTCAACAAATTGATTAAATTGTTCGTTGCAATGGAAAACATTACTTGTTTGATGTAAATAAATTTACTTAAAATGCAAGTATAATTTCATATGACCACCGAATGCATTAAACTTATTGTCATTTTCACTGTAATGGTTCAAAAGCTTTTGTCAACGGTAGGTGCTCCGAGATTAGGTTTCTAAAAATCTAAATAAAATATTGGTGATCCATGTTACTTAATTACCCTAATGTTACTATATTAGCAAATGCTGAACAAAAAATGTTTAGAAAGGATATAATGCTACTTTTTCCTCGTTACATTCAAAAGTCAAAACATCTGTATATTAGTATAAATGACAGCTTAGCTAGCATCCACACTCCAAGCCAAAACCTTCTTCTTAGCCTTACCTTTCTCCCAAACAAAAAATGTCGAAAACTCTTCCTCCACCACCAACATTATTCTTCCCTTCCATAGTATTCTGCTCCACCCTCTTCTTCCTTCTCTTCCTCCTTCCACCAACATCAGCCCAAGAAGTTGGTATTATAACAATCAAACCCTAGCTAATCCCTTCTTCAAATCCCAGATCTCCTTTTTTTTTTTTTGACAACTCACCAAGTTAACTTCATGGTTTTGCAGATGACGAGAGAGAGTTCGATTACGTGGTAGACAGCGAGAGAGGGCCGTCTAGATGGGGAGAAATGCACCCAGAATGGCGCAGTTGCAACAATGGCACGATGCAGTCTCCGATCGACATGTTGAACGACAGGGTCGACGTCGTCTCCCATTTGGGCAGGCTCAACAGAAGCTACAGTGCTGCCAATGCGACTCTCAATAACAGAGGCCACGACATGATGTTGAAGTGGGAAGGTGATGCAGGGAGCATTCACATCAATGGAACTGACTACGTTCTCCGTCAGTGTCACTGGCACTCTCCTTCTGAACACAGTGTTAATGGGAGGAAGTATGCCATGGAGGTTCACATGGTTCATGTGAGTGAGGACGGGAAGATTGCTGTGGTTGGGATTTTGTACACTATTGGGAGGCCCGACTCGTTCCTTGAATCGGTTAGTTTCACTACCTTGGCATAATTATGTAAACATATATTTATGTCTACCTCCATGACTATGACTCTCAAATGTAGAAAAGTCAACCAATATGGAGAACTAGCTCTATGTTGAAATGTGCACAAAAAAGTGATAAAAAATACCTTGATATCATGTCGAGAGTCATATTATCTCGATAACGTAACTCATTGGATGGAAATTTTCTTACACTAACGTCGTACTTTTTGGACTTTACAGATATATGATCATTTGGAGGATATTTCTGGAATTGAGAGAGACGAGAGGGTTGTTGGACTGGTGGATCCAAAGGACATTAAGATCGGGAGTAGGAAATATTACAGATATATCGGCTCTCTCACTATCCCTCCTTGCACCGAAGATGTTTCTTGGACTATTGTGAAGAAGGTAATTTGAAGAGTGCGCTCGGAGAGAAATATGATAGTAATAACTAATAATAATGTTCGTTCAACGTGTTTTTCTAATACATATGCATATCTTAACCCTTGTCAGGTCAGGACCGTCTCTAGAAAACAACTGAGAGTGCTCCGCGTATCTGTGCATGATGTGAGTTCCTTATAATGTCACATTGATTAGCCTCCTAGCTTAAACACATATATCGACACACCATCGAGCTATCTGTTCATACCATTTTCACTATTTGACCAACACAGTGTTTATAACGTTCGTCGATCCAACAGTTGAAATCACGTACCATCAGACATATTAATTCCATGCGCGTGCTTTTCAGTCACTCTGATTTTCGCTGCTAATTGTTGCAGGATGCAAACACGAACGCTAGGCCAATACAGCCGAAATTCGGAAGGAAGGTGGAACTCTTCAGACCAGAAGACAATGTGCAAAGCCAAGATGATTCCATTAGTAATTAGGGAGTAGTTTGTACATTGTAGCAAGACTCTCAATGTTTCTTTTTTACACATGAATATGGAACCTTCTATAATAAAAAGAATTCAATGATGTCTATCCGTCTACCATGTACATATGTACCTCTTCCCCTTGCTGGTTCACTTCTTCAACTTGTTTATGTCAACAACAAATAAAATAACCTTGTACTATATATATATGGTGAGATCACAATAATACACGAACCATGTAATTTGCATAGTACAATCGTATTTGTACATATTCTTAGGATGTGATGACGTCACATTATTTAATTACTAGTTGATTTATTCCTCAGATATTTTTGAATATATCCATTGATGATCCCATATGATGTCTCTCCTTGCTGCTTAATTTCTTCAACTATGTCAGTAACCTGACAACAACAAATAAAATTATTTATATATAGCACTAAAGTCAACTATATTGAACAAACCATGTAAATGCACAGTACAATCCTTTTATGTATTCGTATGTGATAATGGTGGCTCTTTAAGTCTTAACAAGACAAAAGATTAATTGAGATTTCGTGGTGTGGTTTTTCATGATATGTTTTTATTTGGGCTCGTTTGGAAGTTGCGATTGTTAAATAGATGTATTGTTGAGAATGCATGTATAATATTATACATGTATTGTCGAATTTGATGCATTGTAGAATACAACGTTTGGTATGTGTGATTGTGAATGTCGCATCAGCTAAAAGCTGAGACAAAACAATCTCAACTCAACTATCTCAACAATCACAACTAAAAGTTGAGATATAACAATCACTCAAAATGAGTGATAGTTTCTGTCACATCACAGAAACAATCCATGTATTGTTTCTGCTAAAAAAACAAAAATACGATGCATTGTAAACAATACATGCATAATGACAATCTCAACAAAACTATCGCAACTTATTTGCGAAAAGAGCTTTGATTCCATTAGATGCAATAAACCATATGTGATATAAAGTAGGGACAAACTCAAAGAAGTAAGAGACAAAGGACATAAATGGGTGACAATTTTGTACCTTATTTGATCCGTTAAACTTAAACATGTTATATCCCTAAAATTTCTTGTATTTTGTTCTAGACATAGAGAGAATGAATTGACTGGCAACGATGGCGTGGTAGTTTATTAAAAAGAATATTATCTGATTTTATTATTTCTAGTAAATGTGATGCGAAATTGCTCATTACATTGCGTTCTGTGTTCCATTGGATTGGAGTTAATGAACCACTTGTTTACTGAATGTTCGGTCTTCAAAGAGCTATTCTTAGCTCTGTTTGGTAAGTTCCCAAGTAAGACCACCAGGGCAGACTCGGTATGAAGAGTTTGTAATGGACTGATAATTAGGAATGACAATGGGCAGGTCTGGGGCGGGTTTTTTGGTACCCAGACCCGCCCCGTGGCAGGTCGGGTAATTAATCACGGGTCGCGGGTCGGGGCAGGTCGACCCAATGGGTATGTAATTTATATGAAAACATTAGAAATATTCGTTATTTTTATTATAAGACCAAGAAAACAAACAATATTATGACAATTGTAGTTAAATTATTGGAGAAATTGAAGTTTTTACTAATTTACAACTTTATTATAGCTAAAATATGATGCAATAAAAGGAAAATTCTAAGTAATTTGACTAAAATTACATGTAATTTAGGCAAGAACGGGTCAAGAATTGGGTGGATCAGGGCAGGTCGGGTCGATGAGACTATCCATGCCCGCCCTGCCCTGCCTACGGGGCGGCCTCAAAACAGGTCAAACAGGTCGGGTAAAACGGGTCAGGTCGAAATTGCCATCCCTACTAGGGCTGGGAAACGGTGCGGTCTGGTCCAGACCAGACCATATATACGGTCTACGGTCCAGACGGAGAGGCTAAAGTGTAGACCACAGACCAGACCACAGAATATATGGTCCGGTCCAGACCACGCCTGTGCGGTCTGGTTTGGTCTGGTCCAGATAGACCACACTCAAAGAAAAATGAATAATTTGTTTAATCAACCACAAAAAAAATTGAACCAATAACCAAGAAAAATAATTGTTATTTGCCTTACAACATTAATCCTAACATGCATGAATAATTTTGATACTCTAAATCATAGTACATAACAAAGATACAAAGTAAAAGCATCCGAGCTTGCACCATAATGTCATAAACATTAACATAATGTCATATGGAGACACGATTATCTCTACTATGTGGTTAAATGTGGTTGTGAATGAAGGAGATAAGAGATTCACAAAATTAAGGTTGAGACTTGGGTGTCGTTGTGGGAGTTTGGAGAGTGGTCGAATGGGCTGTTAAGACGTATTGACAAGTCAGTTGGGTCTACGGTTTGGTCCGGTAAACCGCGGTCTAGACCAGACCAGACCAAGAGATCAAATCATAAAATAAAACAGACCAGGGACTAGACCAGACCATACTTCACGGTCTACGGTCCGGACCAAACTGTGCGGTATGGTTTGGACCATGGTTTTTCTAACGGTCTGGTCTATTTTCCCAGCCCTAATCCCTACTGATAATGGACTGATTTGGCAATTTATGACAACTTTAACCGAATTCAATAGTCAATGACTAGCAATGAAATGAGACTTAAAGTGAGTGACTAATATGAAAAGAAAATTATTAGAATGATTAATATGAAAAAGTTCAATAAAACGAGTCACCAAATGTGTAATTTAGCCTGATCAAACCTCAGATATGCATAACGCGAATGCCTCCAGGGCCCAGGCTCCAGCAAACTTTCTGGTCTTCAAAAACAAACTTTCTCTTTTCACTTCTACACAGTCCTGTTCCGCCCTTCCCAAATTCCTTTCCTTCCGCGGCAGCAATCCCTCCGACGTTCAGTGATAAGAGGTGGTGGCGCGTGGAAATCAAACCTAGCACCACCACATCGCCCGCGTGATTTCTCGCCGGAGGGGAGGACACACGTACGGCGTGTTCCCAGCCTATTCTCATGCAGGTAAGTAGGTCATTCGTTTGCATTTCGTAGTTTGCAAATCCGCGCCGGCCGGGGGGTTTGAGAGTGAGAATTAGGGGTTTTCCTTCTTAGTCCGTCGCTACAGCCTGCAGACATTGTGCAGTTGTGCTTCGTCTCGGTTGATAACTTCTGTTTTCCCCGTGTTCGTTAGGGTTTTGGCCGGTCAGGGTCCACGGCATTGTGCTGATAACGGTGGAGATGACGTGTATGAACTTCTCTCCCTTGTTGAGCTAAGTTAATTGTAGAGAAGAGTCTATAATAGGGCCAGTCTTAAGTTCGGTTCGTTTATGGTTGTTATTGAGCAATTACTGCTTTGGTTATTCATGGAGATTATAGGCTTTTAGTGTCGTTATGAGGTTTTGTGGATCACATTGAACTTGGACTCTGACTGGGACGCGTTATCTCCGAGGCAAAATGCTTGATGGCGGCAATTAGCATCGAGTATTTTTGTTACGGTAATTGGCAGCTGTCCATGAACTCAAAGCCCTATTGACGCTGCCTTTTTGGTTTAGAGTGTAGGGAATGGCTATAGAGACTCGAACTGGCCGCGGGTCTAAGGTCGAGGAAAGCAGCAGTCCGAAGAGGACTCCTAATAGCAAGGCCTCAGCGATTCCTGGTTCTGCAACACCATCTGCTTCTGGTCTTAGAAGGTCAGAGAGATCGTCGAAGAAAGATACAATACCGAGTCCTCCAAGTACGCGGAAGTCTGGGAGACTTCAGAAGCAGTCCCCAACCCCACCAACACGGGGTAAGAAAAAGATTGGGGCCACCGTGAAGAAGAATACTCTAAGTCCGTTAAGATGTTCGGCAAGGAGTAAGAAACAGTCCTCACCCAGTTCTTCAGTGTCAAAGAACTCAACATCAAGTTTGAGCTCGTTGGCTATCCCCAAAAAAGAGAAGAGCATGGTACAGTTGACCCTTGAATCCAAAGAGGTCAGCAGTTGTGAGGGGGAGTTGTCAAAGGCGAGGCATAGATTAAGCTCAAGCGCGTACAAAGCATTTTTCAAGAAGCAACGTAAAGCTGCTGTGCAACGTAAAGTTCCTGTGGAAGGTAATTACAAATGCCTTTGCTTGTGTCAAATGTTGTCTCTTCGTTGTTTCTCGCATGTCCAACTCCACCCTTCTTCTTTTCAAATGTTTGCTTCTAAGGGTAAATCTATTGAAAATCTGTGGGATTCTGTTTCAGCTGGACCTTTTCAGTTGTCTCTTGACTGATGTTTCTTCATTTTCAGTTGATTCTGAAAGCATTCCTACTCCAGAAGCAATTACTGAGCAGTTGAATGATGTGTCTGAGAGATGTGAACATCTGGAGCCTGGCGATACTATTTTGGCAGAAACAATAACTGTTGACAACAACTCCTTGTCTAAACGGAAAAGAAATGAAGTTAATCTAGATGCTGCACATGACATGGTTTCAAATAAAGATGCCAGCATATTTCTTCCCGTTGCAGTTGCACTGCAAGATCATTCTCAAGAGAACTGTGTGTTGGATACTTGTGCCATGGAAGTTAAGAGGCAGAGGTATTTATTTTCACAATTTTAATGTTTTCATAAATATCTAACTAATGTATTTCTGTCTCCTTCTCTTACCTGAATCATAAAAGGTTTCAAAATACTTGATGATCCCAATTTTAATGTTTTCATAAATATCTAACTAACAGTTTGGCTAAAATTTTGTTCATGGAGAAGAATATGCACATTGTGTTGTGTTTACTTTACTTTTGAACTGGTTACTGTGGATCCTCGACTCCTTGGCCCTTGCTGACTTCTACTTCTTGTTTTATTATCTCTTTGTTTTTGAACTTTATATCATCGATAGTATGCAGAAACTAGCTTGCCAAGTCATCATCCATCAAGATAATTATCGATCACTATCTTTGTGGTTCTTATTTAATTAAATCTGTAATCTACTATCATCTATGTTTATCCGTTGATGCCGAGCTAGTTTCATACGAGACTTACAAAACATACGTAAATTTCAGAAATGGCTTGCTTCCTCCCAACTTAGCTGCTATCCT